TGGGCGGCCCATGCTGCTGGGGGATTGCGGGGCCCAAAAGGCCCCTTGCACCGCTTGCTCCCGCGTGGCGGCCTGGCTGACCAGCGCAGAAGTCAGCCGAGCGCCATGGTGGGAGGTAAGGGGGGGGGGGGCGGTGACGTTCATGGCCAGGGGGCGGGGCTTGGAGCCACTGTCATGCCGCATGTCACCACCCCGCCCCCATTCGCCTCCCACTGTGGCACTCAGCTGACTTCTGCACTGCTCAGCCAGGCCGCCGTGGGGGAGAAAACGGTGCAAGCGGCTGTTTGGGCCCCGCACTCTCCATGCAGCACGGGTCTCTCAGAGGGAACAGCCAGCATTTCAGGCAACAGCACCCCCCAGAGGGAACAGCCAGCATTTCGGCGTTACAGACTCTCAGACACTGGGCTACTATAGATATGATAAATGTTGGTCTTTAAGATGCTCCTAGGGGTTTTTCTGCATGCAGATATTAACTCACATGGCTACCTCTTTGAGACTTAAAGTAGAGAAGGAGTCTGTTATGTGTAGGGTAAGTTTTCTTTATTACTCCCCTGGGTAAACTCCAACATAAGGTCAAGAGACTTCCTGAAGTTCATGCAACGAGAAGACATTTCAGCTGAATTTAGAACCACAACCTGTTCTACTGTAACCACTTGATCACAGTGGGGTGGAGTTGAGAATTCTTTCCAAATTATATATTTTTCTTATAATCTACACTGCCAGGTCTGGATATTACACTGAGATGTAGGATATGATTCATTATTTTGTTGTTTAATTCTTCAGGTATCTTTCGTTTTGTGTTCTCATATATTTCCTCATTTGATAAATACCTAGCAGGGATAATGTGTTATTTTGTGTTGATACATGCTTCCCTGTACCATGTCCAAGGCTTAAAAGCTTTGGGGTGTTAAAGTATCCCTTCAGAAAGGGTAATTTACAGGATGATAGGTGCCACTCTTGAGGGTTTATAAATCCCACACTGAAGTGACCTTCTAGAGTACATCTTTCTAGTATTCTGTATTATATAGTAAAAACGTATTACAACTTAATTAAGTGGGATTGTACATCAAAATATTTTGAAACTATCATATCCTGAGAGAAATATATTGCATATTACTAAACAGATTTCCTATGTAATGAATTCTCCAATTAAGGAATATTTTGTAGTCCTATTCAATTAAAATTACAACTGAATTTTAATTCATGAACTTACAATATTTGACCAGTATTCCTCCTTTTGAATACAAAATAAGGCTGAATACCTTTAAAGCTCAGAAAACAGAAATCTTTCCTTTTAATTGGTTATTCTTTTTAGTTATTTCAGATGAAATTAATAATATGTTTTTTTTTTCCTGCAGGTTATTAATGCGGCTTTAGCTCTTGCTGCAAGACCAAAAAGCCAAGTAGTAAAAAACAACATGGAAAAATATAAGAGCACATGGGAGAATCACATACATGTTCTTACTGAAGCTGTGGATGACATTATAAGCATTGATGATTTCCTTGCTATATCAGGTATGTTAATTTTCAGAATCTGACTTTTTTACGTCAACTTCTCTCTTCTTCATTTTTTAAAAGGATATTAGTTGTATTGTCACTTCCATAAAATCTAACAAAAAACCAGTGGGAGATTAGTATTTAGCAAGGATTACACTTAATACAGCACCCTTGTCATTCCATTCTTTGTCGAGGTGCAGTATGTTATGTGACGTATTCTTCCAGGTTTTGTGACTATAAAAATCTTACTGGGGTTCAGAAACATTTTCAGGCAGGCTCAGGATATCTTACACATTTTGAAAAGCAAATTGCCAATTAGTACACAGTCTAATCTTAAAGGGGGAAAAACTCAAAATGTGTGGGTGTTTAAAAAAGCCTACTGAAAATGCATGCCCATATACTTTACTCAGTTAAACCATTCCTGACCCTCACTAATATACCTCAGAAGGGTCTAAACATGGTATTTACACAAAGCCAAAGAAACAGCAAGGTATAAAGAATTTATACCATAATCCCACTGTACACATGACTGCCATTAGAGCCAAACCTATGTTTTGGCAATTAGTTGCTCAGTGAAATGTAGTTAAAGGATTTGCCTGTCTTTGTGGGCCATGTGCCTTGTTACTTATAGGATTTTTCTGCAAACAGGTGTCCACAAGTTTCCAGCTGGTGACAAATTCTTTTACTTACAGTCAGGTAAATTTGAGCCTACCATTATGATGTTGGATTTACAAACTACTGTTAAGAAGATTTGATATACAGTGTTCATGAAATTTAAGTATGTTCTCTTTACTTAAATAAAAATTTCCAGGTCTATGTGTTTCCTTAGCAGACAACTGTGTATTGATTCATGTGAGCAATTTGTCCAATAATTTCAGTGTAGAGCAGTGTTTGGATTATTTTATTTTATATAGGCTCCCAAAAACTCAGATAGATTATTCTAAAAGCCAGGCACATGGATTCTAGCACCCAGGCGGTTAAGCCACACCCCGTAAGTTAGGGAAGAGGAAGTATAGGAACAGCTATTGCATCTATTACAAATGCGAGAAGTATGGGTAATAAGCAGGAAGAACTGGAATTGCTAACCAATAAATACAACTATGATATCATTGGTATTACAGAAACCTGGTGGGATGGGACGCATGATTGGAATATTGGTATGGAAGGGTACGGCTTGCTCAGGAAGGACAGACAGGGAAAAAAGGGAGGAGGGGTTGCCTTGTATATTAAAAATGTACACACTTGGACTGAAGTGGAGATGAACGTAGGAGATAGCTGTGTAGAGAGTCTCTGGGTTAAGCTAAAAGGGGTAAAAAACGAGGGTGATATCATGCTAGGAGTCTACTACAGGCCACCTAGCCAGGTGGAAGAGGTGGATGAGGCCTTTTTTAAACAATTAACAAAACTATCCAAAGCCCAAGATTTGGTGGTGATGGGAGACTTCAACTATCCAGACATATGTTGGGAAACTAACACAGCGAGGCACAGGCTATCCAATAAGTTTCTGGACTGCATTGGAGACAACTTTCTGTTTCAGAAGGTTGAAAAAGCTACCAGAGGAGAAGCTGTTCTGGATTTGGTTTTAACAAATAGGGAGGAACTAGTTGAGAACTTGAAAGTGGAAGACAGTATAGGGGACAGTGATCACGAAATAATAGAGTTCATGATCTTAAGGAAAGGTAGAAGGGAGACCAGCACAATTGAGGTAATGGATTTCAGGAAGGCAGATTTTGATAAGCTCAGAGAACTTGTAGGTAAGGTCCCATGGGAAGCAAGACTGAAGGGAAAAACAACTGAGGAGAGTTGGAAGTATTTCAAAGGGACGTTGTTAAGGGCCCAAAAGCAAACAATTCCGCTGTGTAGGAAAGATAGAAAATATGGCAAAAGACCAGCTTGGCTTAACAAGGAGATCTTGCATGATCTCAAAATAAAAAAGGAGTCATATAAAAAATGGAAACTAGGACAACTAACAAAGGATGAATATAGGCAAGCAACACGGGAATGCAGGGGCAAGATTAGAAAGGCAAAGGCACAAAATGAGATCAAACTAGCTACAGGCATAAAGGGAAACAAGAAGACCTTTTATAAATACATTAAAAGCAAGAGGAAGACCAAGGACAGGGTAGGCCCACTGCTTAGCGAGGAGGGAGAAGCAGTAACAGGGAACTTGGAAATGGCGGAGATGCTCAATGACTTCTTTGTTTCGGTCTTCACCGAGAAGTCTGGAGGTGTGCCTAACGTAGTGAATACAAGCAGAGAGAGGGTAAGTTTAGAAGATAGGATACACAAAGAACAAGTTAAAAATCACTTAGGAAAGTTAGATGTCAGCAAGTCACCAGGTCCTGATGAAATGCATCCCAGGATACTCAAGGAGCTGATAGAGGAGGTATCTGAGCCTTTAGCTATGATCTTTGAAAAATCATGGCAGACAGGGGAGATTCCAGAAGACTGGAAAAGGGCAAATATTGTGCCCATCTATAAAAAGGGGAATAAGAACAACCCAGGAAACTACAGACCGGTCAGTTTAACGTCTGTCCCAGGGAAGATAATGGAGCAGGTAATTAAGGAAATCATATGCAAACACTTGGAAGGTAATAAAGTGATAGGGAATAGCCAGCATGGGTTTGTGAAGAACAAGTCATGCCAAACTAATCTGATAGCTTTCTTTGATAAGATAACGAGCCTTGTGGATAAGGGAGAAGCGGTGGATGTCATATACCTAGACTTTAGTAAGGCATTTGATACGGTCTCGCATGATATTCTTATTGATAAACTAGGCAAATATAACTTAGATAGGGCCACGATAAGGTGGGTGCATAATTGGCTGGATAACCGTAGTCAGAGAGTTGTTGTTAACGGTTCTAAATCCTGCTGGAAAGGGATAACAAGTGGAGTTCCTCAAGGGTCTGTTTTGGGACCCATACTGTTCAACATCTTCATCAATGATGTAGATATTGGGATAGAGAGTACGCTTATTAAGTTTGCAGATGATACCAAACTGGGTGGGGTTGCAACTTCTTTGGAGGATAGGGACATAATTCAAAATGACCTTAGCAAGTTAGAGAAATGGTCAGAGGTAAACAGGATGAGGTTTAATAAAGAGAAATGCAAAGTGCTCCACTTAGGAAGGAACAATCAGTTCCATACATACAAGATGGGAAGCGACTGTCTAGGAAGGAGCATGGCAGAAAGGGATCTAGGGGTCATAGTGGACCACAAGTTGAATATGAGTCAACAGTGTGATGCTGTTGCAAAAAAAGCAAATATGATTCTAGGTTGTATCAACAGGTGTGTTGTAAGCAAAACTCGTGAAGTCATTCTGCCGCTCTACTCTGCACTAGTTAGGCCTCAGCTGGAGTACTGTGTCCAGTTCTGGGCGCCACATTTCAAGAAAGATGTGGAGAAATTGGAAAGGGTACAGAGAAGAGCAACAAGAATGATTAAAGGTTTAGAGAACATGACCTATGAAGCCAGGCTTCATGAACTGGGCTTGTTTAGTTTGGAAAAAAGAAGATTAAGGGGGGACATGATAGCGGTTTTCAAATATCTAAAAGGGTGTCACAAGGAGGAAGGAGAAAATTTGTTCCTCTTGGTTTCTGAGGACAGGACAAGGAGTAATGGGCTTAAAGTGCAGCAGGGGAGGTTTAGATTGGACATTAGGAAAAAATTCCTAACTGTCAGGGTGGTCAAATATTGGAATAAATTGCCAAGGGAGGTGGTGGAATCTCCCTCTCTGGAGATATTTAAGAACAGGTTAGATAGACATCTGTCAGGGATGGTGTAGACGGAGCTTGATCCTGCCTTGAGGGCGGGGGGCTGGACTCGATGACCTCTCGAGGTCCCTTCCAGTCCTATTATTCTATGATTCTATGATCTATGTGCAAAAAGAATTCTTTCATGGATGTTTAGCCAGGTTTAAATTTTGCCTTATGGTCCTAAGGTGGGTCTGATTCACTAATGCTGTGCACCTTTGTGTAGTCATGTACACCAAAAGGACAGTGCAAAGCTGATCTAGAATTATACCTGATCAGAGTGGAATGTTTTGCATTTTATTTGCACTGATGTAAATAATTACACGGGATCTAAAGCAACAATGAATCAGATCCCCAAAGTTGAGGTCCCTGACCAAAATGTACAAATTGGCTGCAGACTTTTTTGGTCAAAGAAACAAGTACAAAGAAAACAGCTTATAAAATAATGTGCTTCCCTGAAATGTTTCCTTTTTTTTTTTTTTTTGCTCTTTTAAGGCTTCACATTTATGCTAAGACATGTTTATATTTCAAATGCTTCCTTTGCAGAGAGGTATTGTACTAGTTTCACATTTCGCAATGTTAGAAGTGTAAATAGTAAAATGGGTGAACTGGAGTGCTAGTTTTAAAGGAGGATATTGATATAATAGGGATCACGGAAACTTGGTGGAATGAGGACAATCAATGGGACACAGTCATACCAGGGCACAAAACATATTGGAAGGACAGAGCAGGTCGTGCTGGTGGGGGAGTGGCACTATACATGAAAGAAAATGTAGAATCAAATGAAGTAAAAATCTTAATTGAGCCAAAATATTCCACAGAATCTATATGGATAGTAATTTCATGCTCCAATAATAAGAATATAGCTGTAGAGATATATTATTGACCACCTGATAAGGATAGTGACTATGAAATGCTAAAGGAGATTAGAGAGGCTATCACTTTGAAGAAAAGCTAGCTAAAACCTCAAAAAGTAATAGTAAAATGTTTTTTAAGTACATCAGAAGTAGGAAGCCAGTTAAACAACCAGTGGAGTCCTTGGATGATTAAGATACTAAAGGAGCCCTCAAAGATGATAAAGTCATAGCAAAGAAGCTAAATGAATCCTTTGCATTAGTCTTCACGGCTGAAGTTATTGGGGACAGTCCCAAACCTGAGACATTCTTTTTAGGTGACAAATCTGAGGAATTGTCCCAGATTGAGGTGTCATTAGATGAGGTTTTGGAACAAATTGATAAACTTAACTGTAACAAGTCACCAGGACTGGATGGCATTCAGCCAACAGTTCTAAAAGAAATCAAATGGGAAACTGCGGAACTGTTAACTGTGGTTTGTAACCTATCCTTTAAATCAGCTTCTGTACCTAAAGATTGGAAGATAGCTAACGTGACACCAATATTTAAAAAGGGCTCTAGAGGTGATCCAGGCAATTACAGACCAGTAAGTCTAAAGTCAGTACCGGGCATATTAGTTGAAACTATAGTAAAGAATAAAATTGTCAGACACATGGATGAATATAATTTGTTGGAGGAAAGTCAACATTGTGTCTGTAAAGGGAAATCATATCTTACTAATTTGCTAGAGTTCTTTGACAGGGTCAACAAATATATGGACAAAGGAGATCCAGTGGATGTAGTATACTTAGATTTCCAGAAAGCCTTTACAAGGTTCCTCAGCAAAGGCTCTTAAGTAAAGTAAGTTGTCATGGGATAAGACAGAAGGTCCTTTCATGGATTTATAACTGGTTAAAAGACAGGAAACAAAGGATAAGAATAAATGGTAAGTTTTCTGAGTGGAGAGAGGTAACTACTGGTGTCCCCAAAGGTCTGTCCTGGGATCCATCCTATTCAATTTATTTATAAATGATCTAGACAAAGGGATAACAGTGAGGTGGCAAAATTTGCAGACAATACCAAACTGCTTAAGATAGTTAAGACCAAAGCAGACTGTGAAGAGCTTCAAAAAGATCCCACCAGATGAAGTGATTGGGCAACAAAATGGCA